TTCCTGAATCCCCTAAAAAGCGCCTTTAGACATGGATGACAGAGTGCATTTTGCAGCATTRCTGGAATGATTCCGTCAGTATCGGGATATTTGTATGGATCGAGTGAGCATATTACCYATTCTATTTTATTTTCCGTAAAAATGTGTCCGGGAACGTTACCGTGTCCTTATTACCTGGAAGATGCACACTGATTAGGTCTTCCTGGCAGTAGAATAAAATATTTGGTTATAATGAGGGAAATTAGTGCGAAGTTGCAATGTTCGCACGCTCTGTTTCCCTCATATACTCTTGACTCTTGACACAAAGTTTTTGACAGTATTTTCCGTTAAACTACACTTCTAGCAAAATATACAGCAAAAAATTAACTGGAATGGTTGATATCATTGTGTATATGAACAATATTTTTGGTCTAGATGAAAGTTTATCCGTGATTATCTTTGCGCTAAGSTTAATTAGCCTCTCGTTCCAAACCAAAGGAGATCAACAAAGTACTAATATTTGAACTTAGCTTGACGGGAGAATGCTGCTTTTACGCCTCCTCATGAAAAATGCATACAATTAAACTTCCATGAAATCAGCAAACTGCATTATTAAATTAAACACTGGCTAGTGTGAGTTTTAATCTCAATTTAAATTGAAATAAAGTGAAAAAGCAATGAAAAAAGTATTCACTGTTTTACGCACGGATGAGAGTAAATTCGGCGAAACTTTCAACATTTCAAATTTATTGTTGCAGCAAAGCATGCTCAACCGTACCGACGTGGTATTTCTAATAATCTTCCATTCGCAAAAGCCACGTACTGAAAATTAAGACCAACTAACTAATACAGGGATATTGGTTCGGAGAGAGAAAATGTTTTTTTTTATGTTTTTTTTTTTTTTTGTTTTGTTTTTTAATTTTGTATAACCGATTTTTCTCACTTTGTATATCTACAATAGAAAATGTAATTTCTTGCAAAGCAGCCACTTGTGTGCATTTACGAAAAACCACACAYTTGAATAATGCAGCTTTGGCAGATCCAAAATAATTGTTAACAATCCCGCTTGAGAATTCAAATATACCGTAAAGAAATCGCAAAAATAAAATTGAAATCGTTTCAATGCGAACAACAAATCATTCCCAATAATCGAGCTGAAACAAACTGCACACCCACATAGCAACAGACTTACGCCTACACTCTCGCAACATGTTGCCACAGAGTAAAATACAGCGTTGTTTATTTAGTTCATTTAACTCTCAAACTCATTGATATGTACTAGCATATAGTTATATGTATACATATATACTATATGTCAAAATTATCAAAATGACGAGACGATTTCAGCTGTCTCTTGATATGATGGTCAGACCAAGCAAGCAATAACTTGGGTATAAATTGATACGTTTCATCAAAAGTAGGTTTTCTAAGAGGCCCGAGAAGTGCGTCCTTATAAAAAAACCAATTGCTTTCTGAGTACAAAACATATATCAAGTATTATTGGTGGCTCATCCACAATGGTATGTAACGCTGTCAGGTACCAACCAAGTAATAAAAAAGCGTGAAAGGAAGCTGGCAATGTCAGTGAGAGAAGTCGATTCAATTGTCCGATACTCATAGCAGTTACAATTTGTGGCAACTGTAGAAATATAAAGATCCCTTTAATGTAATTGCAAACCGTGTGCGATCAGGATCTGAGTGCCCAAAGTCCAAGAAAAGTGCTGTCATTGTCTGAAACAGGGCGGAAAGGGATAGCGTCAATATTTATGACGTCCAGCCAATACCGATTACAAGCCGAAATACAAGTATACAACAAARCCGGTAAAATATGTAAGATCATGGTTTGGGCATGATTTTCTTGACAAGATATAGGGCCGATATACTCGATTAAGGAAAACATGCATGGTGATTCGTGTGTCGAAATATTCCAGAAAACAATGCTGCCGTATGCCAGTGAAGCAATGCCGATGGAATTTCCAGAACGGAAACGATCCCAAGCAGAATAGTAAAGTTACTAAAAGGTGGTTAGAGAAAGACAAGGTTATGGAATGGCAGCCACAGTTCAAGCACATCCACCCGATTGATAGTTTGTGAACGGTTGTCAAGAAGGCAGTAGTCCGATGTAAGCCGACATCAACAACAAAAATAGCTTACTACTGTTTTGCCGAAATTTCGGATTCAATGTAACACACTATTCAGTTTTTGACGGAAGCGTTTGTGTGACAAATGATCAGCACGACTAGCTGAGTCGATTAAACCATGTTCATCTGTCCACCTATCCGTTTGGCGATACAATTATTCATGTGTCGGAACCGCCGATATCGGAGCTGCTATATAAACTTAACGATCTGAAACAAGTATTTGTTTAGAAAAATCTTTCATATTACGAGGTATCTTCAAGAAATTTGGCAAGGGTCATTGTTTAGATCAGGACACTACCCGATCAAATTCAGAAAAAAGATATTTTTATACTCTTTCAAGCAATAAATAATGCACCTATGAAGGGTATTATAGCTTAGGTGCTGCTGAAGTTAACGTTTTTACATCGCTAGCAACAAAAACTAATCATGCTTTGCAGCTCACAAAATATACGTAAAGCAATTTTCAACATACGCTCGCTTTGAAATACAGTATGCATTTAACCAACTAACAAATTTACCCCATTTCGTACCAGTTTGATAAAAATATGAGAAAACTCTGAAGCAGCAAAGCGCTTAAATCTACCTCACAGCATGAATATAACGTTTTACTTTATCTGTGTTAGTAACGCAATAGTCAAATGCTGAATAGCATAGCTGCTTTGCGACTACTGAAAACATTGAATTTTCAAAAATGCTGCAAAGCTTAAGTAGTGCACTGCAATATCCATATATGTCATTCCACGTGAACTAAAAACTCGTACATGACTACACTCGAAAGCAGACGATATGATGCCATTGAAAGCGATAAGCAAACGTGTCTAGTTATTTTTCGAATGCTTACACTAAGAACATACAAGACTTATGTCRGAAATGCTTTTACAATTTAGCGAGATGATACCGGGATTAGATATTTGCACAAATTTTAAAAATAAATGTGTGTAATATATGAAAAGTTAACTGGAATGGCAAAGGATTCAACATTTTCATTAAGAACTTGATAGGAAACCAGATTTAAACACACATTGAAGCAACAATATTGCTAAATGCGGAAATATTTGATATTTCTGTGGTCAGAGAGAAAATAAGCAATGTTAAAGACTACCACTGAAAACATTAATTTTACTATAGGAGGTAGTGAGAGATATCCCCAAACTAGCAGTTTCCCGGTGTGCTTATAGCATCGAAGAGAAAATTTTACTAGAGTGGCTGGCTCACGACGCACCTAGTCCTTAGGAGGCGTATTGTGATCAATTTTAACTAAGAATCAAAAACCCAAGAAACAAATAACCAAAATAAATCAGACTGCAACTTTTCAAGAATCCAGACATCAACTATGTGGACACCAGTGCATATGGCAGATTTTTTACCGAACAATAATACAACGTGTGTTCCAAAGTAAACAGGACTTAAAAAAAAAAAACAAAAAAAAAAGAACAAATGGTTTTTTCGGAAAAATCAATTTATTTTATTCAAAATAGTCTCCTGCTGCTTCAATACAGCTTTTTGCACGGTCCAAAAGTACGTCGAACGAGTGATTTAGCTGGTTGGCCGGTATGGACGCCAGTATGCCGGTGCAAGCCATTTGAATGGCCTCTCTGTCTGCATAACGCTTTCTTTTCATGGGCAAATGCATTTCTCCGAAAATAGAGAAGTCGCACGGTGCCCTATCAGGTGAATACGAGGAGTGGTTATTGGTTAAAAAGTRATTTTTGTTCAAATATTCAGTCACATTCAAATGTCCTTCGAATGTTGGATTCTGCGCAAATTTTGGTCGTCAGTCAATTTGTGTGGAACAAACCGTGCACACATTTTTCGTATATATAAATATTCGATTGGAGATGTTCAACTCCATTTCCATGAATTTYAATGATGATTTCGGCTGATTTTTGATGAACTCACGCAGTTTTTCGATGGAATTTCCTTTGATCATTAACTCACGACCACTCTGAAAACGTTRAAGCCACTCGTGCACTCTGGTACGTGATATATACTGACACTTAAAACTCAACAACTTCACTTCCAATCGATGAAATGCCACAATATTTTTACTGGACAATCAATATTATAGATAATAGATGATAGATGCCGAAATGTAGATGACGCCACCAGCGTGCGCTAGATTCAAAAARTTCTGTTTATTTTGCAAGATATACTAAAATCTTCTTGCCCGTGATTGTGCAGCTAACAGGATTCCAAATAATTTCCTTGGAACATTCACTGTTACCACGAACTCTCTCTATATTCCATCGAAAAATGAATATGGAACCACATTTTTATTCAGTATCTGTAATACTAATTTTTCATCCACATTATACTCGTAATTCTTGGCTTCATAACACTTTTAGTCAGTTAGTTATGGAAAATTCACAAATTAYTTAGAATTTCAAAGCAATCAGAAATACTGTTCGTGGAAATGCAAGTTTACAAATAACTCACCCGAAAAAAAGTAAGTTAAAAGGCGGACAAAATCAAAATAAAGTCTAAAGCCACATGCTTTTTATTAAGTAACTCGTTTTATTTAAATTACAAAAAAAAAAATATGTTTGGCATTTTGAAAGTTCTTTTAAAGTTCTGAAAATAAAGATTTTTCAATCCAATTGCGCTTAATGCAAAATTTCAATATTTGTGCGCACACGCACACACATGCGAAGCGAGACACGCAAGCGACGCGAAATCCGCCGCTGAAAGTCAAGTGCGCACATGTGCTAAAACATCTGGCCAACGATTTCACAGCAAATTTCAGCAGCTGACGTTGGCAAATTTGTCCATTGCTAATACGCTTATCGTATTAGCGCCAGCAGCTATAGCACCAGCTGCCCGAACACCGGCAGCGCTGAGCCAAAGCGCTCGCTGCACAGATATGTTAGTCGTTAAGACGCTTTCACGTTGAGTGGACTGCAAGCGTAGTTATTGTCGCAAAATTTTCTATCTCGAAAGAACACACACTATAAGCCAAACAATAGTAGAGGAAAAATTGCAGTGCACGCGTGGTGTAGAGAGGCGGAAACCAAGCACATTTCAACGTATGACATGGCGTATGAGTGACGTTACAACATGTAATAACTTATGAATCTCCGGCAAGGGTGATTATAAAGASGAAAAATATTATCGTGAAGTTTTTGTGTTTGCTTTTTCAACAAAAAATTTTGATTTAACAGTTGCACTGGTTTAATTTCCACATTATAAAGTTTGCCATTGGCACATGTGCATAATTATCCACAAACATGGCAGTTAATGGAACTTTTCCAACGCGCGAGTTCGAGTAGTGTGGTTAACKACAAGCAAATGTGTGCTTGTGTTCGGCTAGTTTGTGCACTATTTGACTTTATTGTTTGGTTAAAGTGATGGCTATTTGCATATTTTAAATTTTTTTATCAAATTAAATTACTGATTTTAAATTAATCAAAATAATCAAAATAATAAAATTAGTGATAACTATGAAATAACAGTGATAACGGTGAATATATAACAAAAATAATAACCATAATAATACGAAATAGTAAATCGTTGTCATATGAAATTTAAARCAAGAACAACTTTGTAATAAACATTTTCGGAAATATGTGAAATATGATAKCCATTTCTAGAAACTTCAAATTTAATATCGAAAGTTTATTATCATTCGAAAGAATATTCATCGGCATTGATGTTGGGAAGTTTATCTCTTTCACATATCAGATGGTCTATCGTTGAGTCCAATTTTCGGTGGCTCGTTCGAGCATTTCGACTGGTAACTGGCGAATCANTCACATATCAGATGGTCTATCGTTGAGTCCAATTTTCGGTGGCTCGTTCGAGCATTTCGACTGGTAACTGGCGAATCATACTGTTTAGCTCCAAGGTCTGAATMGAAACGAGATTGTTGGTATAGACTTTAGATTTTAYATATACCCACTGAAAACGGTCTAACGGTGTGACATCATACAATTTTGGTGGCCAATCGACTGGTTCTCTCAATAAATCCATCGATTGGTGCGATTTGTAGGAAGTGGTGCCGTCATGTTGAAACCAACTGTCGCCGAGATCACAAACTTCAATTTCWGGCAKCAAATAGTTGGTAACCAYGRYGCGTTAGTGGCCGCTTTTAACGGTTACGTTCTCACCGGCTTCATTTTTTGAAGAAATATTGTATGAACGCATGATCCCAAAGGACCACAAACCACACCAAACAACCAAGGTTGCTTAAGTTTCAGTTCATAGTTTCAGTTCTTACACAAGTTACATTTCGTATGTTTTAAAAACTCGACAGGAAATGACTGCGAACTGCGCCGAATCAACTATCCACGGTCCTCGTGTTTGCTCTCAGTTACGGCAGCTACATTTTCTTCACGGCATGCTGAACGTGGTCTTTTCAGTCGAATATKATACAGTAATGAATGCTTCGCCGCAAGATGGGCGATGGTATTACGAATAATACGCTCAAAAGGCCAATAATATTCTTTAAAAAATTAAAATTTCCATAATTAAATTAAACTATTGTAGACGTTGCTCAGGCGCGAATTTTTCCATGATGAAATGCCAACCAATATTGAACAAAAAAAAAAAAAAAAGCAACTCAGCTTAATAGAACTCACGCGTGTTTTGCCAAAACAGGCTATTGAAAAAAGTACCTCTACTTGGTTCACCCCTTATTTACGATTATATAAACACACATCTGTTATTAGTACTACAAGAAAGCCTCTGAAGCTGAAGGGTTTTTAATACCATTCCGTGAAACCCCAGCTGTACCACGAACTCCCGCCATTTTCGACCGCATGGTGTATATTTCACMAGCGTTTAATTCAACGTAACATCTGCTCATATTGGTTCTGTGCGATGGTGTATGCATTCTGCTTACTAATAATTTTTCCATAAAAATTTTATCTTGATAAAACTCTGTTTAAGCTGAAAACGTTAGCATAGCCGCTTTCATTATGCGCTTGACTCTCAGTGAAAYAGTTTACRATTTGATTAAACTTTTATAAATTRAACGAAGCAAAGAACTRAAAATTGGATTTTTGGCAGACATTTCTCCAAAAAATTAAAATTTCGAGAAACTTTTTTTCAAATAGTTGCAATTTGAAAAAAAATGCTTCGTTCAAGTCTTTAAGAGTTCTATCTCAAAGATCTGTGTAAAAATGCATGAAGATCACTTAARTAGTTCTCGATAAATATTGCCAACCGACTCAAAAACACAGTTTCGAGAAAAATATGTTTAAAGATGGCGAAGTTAGCCTATAGAGCGCACAAGTTTTCATGGCTGTATCTCCGAAGCTATTACTCGGAAATATAAGACAATATTGTAACGGTGTTGTACAATTTAATAGGACAATAAAAAGACTTGATTTTTGAAGTCCATAAACCTACGTAACCATTTAAGTCGAACCAGAAGGTATGGTGAGTTCATCTGCTCTATCTCTGATCTTTCGATGAAATTATCATCAACCGAAGTGGCACACACCTCGTTTTAAACAAGTTTTCAATGCCTCCGTGAGCTTCACTATAAACTTGAATGCTGATATACCTGACGTACATATAATCCTAGAAAGATATCTCCAATATTTCCAAACATTCCTTAACCGTGCTTGCATTGGAAACCTAAATATTCAAACTCGTTGTTAAATTTTTTTTTTTTTTTTTTTTTTTTTTTTTTTTTTCCATGAACTAGCTACCAAAACCACACTTGTTAGTGTATATAGTATAAGCTTCTTGCGAAAATAAATATTGTTGCAGGCTAGTCCGAGTCAAATCTGATCAAGTGGTATATTAATCAAGCGCAAAAATTACTGAAAGCAAGAATTACCACGAAATCTTTCCTCCCACGACAGTCGGATCTACAAGGACTGTCGATTCTGCAGAATTCTGTCGCTACAATAWCAGTTATAAAATCTTTCATTTTACAGTAGTTTTTTCTTTCATAGAAATTTTATTTCCATGGTTCTGTGCATTATTTCCAATAAAAGCTTAAAGCGTCAAAAAAATRAGAATTTAACAATTTCCAAYATGTAATTTTTTATAAAAAWTTTTTTAAGCACGATTTCGAATACTTACTGTACACATTGCTAGAATTGTATTTTTCAGCGGAAAATTATATATGAAAATTGAAAAAGTATAAGTGAAATGTTTTTATATTTAAAGCTAAAGGCAAAAAGTTTTAAACTACTCAAGTACTAACAAAAAACTACACAGAYATCAAGTTTTTTTCTTTTTATGTCAATTAAAGCTACACTCATAGCAATTTAATTCTTGTTAAATGCAGAAAACAACAAATATTTCATTTGCAGTTTCAAAAACTTTTCACACCATAATTTTGCTAAAACACACACATACACACAGCAACCACATTTAGCTCACATAAACGCAGTTTTAAGTTGAAAATATTTTTGCTAAGAGCACATTTCTCGTATCAATTGAATTTAGCGCTAATTGCTTTCACACCCAGTCTGATTAAGTTTCACCTACACATTAACATATGTTTGTATGTACTGTATTTGTAAAAGTCGCGTCAATTAGCGTGTTATCAGCCTCCGATAACCGTAAATATAAACTGCAAAAATATCAATGCGAGCAGCGAATTGTAATTGCAAACACTTTTACATGGAACCAATAACATATACATATATAACGGTATATGCATGTGTTATGTGAAAAATTGTATGGCAAATATTTCCGTGTTATTAATATATGATTGAGTAAGGAAAATAGCTGCTCAAATCGGCGGAAAAAGTCATTTATGTGATTAGTTATTTGTCAATAGCAACTCTGTGGCATCCACTGGCATTCTAAAGCAAATTATAGCAGTTACTAAATTTCAAGCGCGCATTTTCGTTGATAGATTGTCATGAAAAAAACTACACTCTACAGAATTTTCTTCACAATTTAAGGTATAACTTGTCTGAACTTTACATATATGCTTTTTGTGGCAATAAAGCAGTGGCTGTTTCAAATATATAGCAACCTAAACTATCTGATCAAATTTGACTCGGACTGCTCCACTTAAACTGCGCGCACAAGCCGAATCGGTGGAAAATATATGGTTTTTTGCACAAACTTTTTATATTGTGTAAAATTTGAAATCCATATGTCAATTATTATGTATTTTGAAGACGATAATAAATATTTGCAAAATACGGTAAAAGTGTTTGGTCAGTCCGGTTAATGTTATCTATATGTTATCTCTAGCGGAACAAAAATTTAGCACGCAGAAGTACACAACATAATCGATCTGGTTGGTGGTGTTTCGATCCTGGCTACAGCCAGGTAGCTTGGTAAGTTTTTTTGTGCTGGAATCTAGTACTACAGATAACCGCATTAGGAGTCATGGCGAAGTAGATCAGCCTCAACCCTTTTGGCGATGTTTACTTGCGGAGGCTGTGCCAAAGATACCTTGCTAGCTCACCCTAGTGTTAAAGTCGCCAAGCACGATTTTAACATCGCGGCGGGTGCTCTCCAAGCGCTCATATAAGGCATCTTTGGTCACATCATCCTTTTCTTCCGTCGCGGCATGGGCGGATGTCGCGGATTGTGGCTAGACGTTCATCCACCAGGCTGAATGACAGTACTCGGCAACGGAGTCTCTCTCACACTACAAATCCCACACCGAATTTGCGCTCCTTTATATTTCACTGTAGTAAATGGCATAAGGACCTTCTGACTCATTTTTTGGACTCATTTTTTGGACGGCGGTAATGACTTTTACTAGGTCTTCAACCAGCGGAGCAGCGGCACTTTCCCAATTAAGGGACCGGACATTCTAGGTATATGCCCTGAAATCATAATCCTTAATTCGGTGTCCATGGTAGTCGCCAAAAAGGGGGTCTCTCATCCGAGCCTATTTAAACTTTATCATTGGGGGCGTTTTTACGTGGCGTGTCCCAAACCCAGCGCACAACCCTGTGGAGGGAATGATTCGCCTTCTCACTTGGTCAAGGACCGCAAGTCGTGAGCACCTTGAACCATTTGTAATAGAAACGTTTCTGGTTACTCCCAAGTGAATGATGCTCAGATAACTTTCCTCACTTTTGTTAACTTCTACATATGGCTCCATTCCCCCAAATACATCAGCAAGTATGTAAGTTATCTTAATAAAATTGAGAGAGATTGTTTTTATACTCTCGCAACAATGTTGCTAAAGAGTGTATTATAGTTTTGTTCACATAACGGTTGTTTGTAAGTCCTAAAACTAAAAGAGTCAGATATAGGGTTATATATACCAAAATGATCAGGGTGACGAGTAGAGTTGAAATCCGGATGTCTGTCTGTCCGTCCGTCTGTCCRTCCGTCCGTCCGTCCGTGCAAGCTGTAACTTGAGTAAAAATTGAGATATCATGATGAAACTTGGTACWCGTATTTCTTGGCTCCATAAGAAGGTTAAGTTCGAAGATGGGCAAAATCGGCCCACTGCCACGCCCACAAAATGGCGAAAACCGAAAACCTATAAAATGTCATAACTAAGCCATAAATAAAGATATTAAAGTGAAGTATTATAGAGTCGTTTCCTTCAGGCATTTTCATATACCTGTCTCTTATACACATCTAGATGTGTATAAGAGACAGATAGCGGAATAAAACTTTACACAAATACGGTATTTGAGCTGAGGTATCCCTTGTGGAAAAATTGTCATGATCGGACTATAACTTTTCAATGCAATTAAAATAAATGAAAATACAATTCAATACTCAAAGTACACAAATTGATCTAATCTAATTAATTTACAGCAAAATAAAAAAATATGTAAATGACGGATAATGAAATCTCGATTATCCCTTTATCATGCGAGAGTATAAAATGTTCGGTGACACCCGAACTTAGCCCTTCCTTACTTGTTATAATAACGGTTCATCTTTGCCTAAAATGAATAACTTAGTTACTCCATAGTCTTTCAGTTTCAGACTTTTACAGAGATCACGAAGATTTTTTAAATCTTCAGCCAAAGGTACTATGCAGGGAGAGTATTCACTCAACAGATATAAAAAGTACTTATTTATTAGGCAGTTAGATCATATTTATACGTGAAATAACTAATAAAAATTAATCTCTAAGACATACACGACCAAAAGTAACACAACACTGGACTTTGCCTTAAAAAGTAAATGCTTCTCCGAAATTCCTGAAACTGAGTTAACTTTGACGCATCTTTTTCATTAGTACAACCCAAAATTGCTTAGAACAAAACCCAATTTAATGCTTAGATGCTCTTAAGGTACTTACCCGCACAACTACTAACAACGCAATATCGATTTTCTAGAGCCACACAAAGTGTGTATGTGCGTGTGCTTGCAATCAAGTTGGCACACAAAGAGATAGCAGAACTTGACCTTTAAGAAGCTCAACCGTGCACACAAACACGCATATATGTATATCTACAATTGCGGAGATAAATCTCTTTTCAATTTAGTTCATTTCCGTAGCGGCCCTTTTGATTGTATTTGTATTTAAACACCACTTACCTTCCACCATTCCAAAAATGGTTCGCTCTTATTGACAGAACACGCTTGCGGTTAAATAGAAATGATGCAGCGTTTTTATTTGTTTAATTTTTTTTTATCTACAAAAATAAATGTGTGAATTATATTTGCTGAAGATTCACTAACCTTCCAATTTGTTTACTTGTGTGTGTGTTGGTGGAATTGCATAGGCTGCTGGCCAAGTTGGTTCGCTAAGTACAGTCTAATTAATAAGTAAACCAAAAGTCAACAGATTTTCGAGATACGTTGTAAATTTTTAGAACGAATTAAATAAATATTTGTCTGTGGTATTTGGCTATTTCGAATTGTTGTTCAAGAATTTGCATGCAATGTTTGAATATTTAGCAACAGAAAAACATTTTTAACAAGTAAGAAGGGTCTAGTTCGGGCACAACTGAACATTAGATTATTTCGCATTATTTTAATGAAAGAAGTGTAAATTCTTTCGATGAATATGCAGGAAATTATTTTTGAAGCATATTATTATATTATAACATACGATCAAATTTGACTCTGACTGGCAAACATTTTTTTTTTTTTTTTTTTTTTTTTTTGCTTTTAAGTATTTTAATACAAATATTTATTATCGCCTTTACTTGTTATCAGTCTCGTTTGAGATGGCCTTCAGTGCCTACCGCGAACTTTTTATCCCATGTGTGCATTTTCAGTTCAGTTTTGCTTTTTCGGCTAATTTTTGAGTCGCAATTCGCTTAACCGTTGTGCAGATTGAACATTATATTCATAAACCCACGTCCCGTCAAAAATAAGAATTTGTTTGATGAATCTACCTGTGATCAAATTGATTGGTGAATTTTTAATTTATACTTCGCGTATTTTTCGAATTTGTTGGCAGTACTGTTAGTGACATCTATGCTAAATTTTAGTATTTGAGACACGCGTCGATTCGTGAGGCTCGAAAAGTGAAATCTTCCATTTTACTATGTCTACATTTATAGAACAAAGAAGTGCGATAATGCTGAGATCGTTATTCGTGATTATTTCACATCATTTTCTACTAATATCGTGTCGCAACCACCGCATTCGCCTGATTTACCTTCTGGCTATTCAGCAAATTCACATGGTCACTMCGGATACACCGAGGATTGAGGATATAAAAGCTGAATGGAAGGAGGCTCTGATTTCCATCTCAACGGATGATTTTTCCAAGTGCTTTGATGACTGGAAAATTCGTTGGCGAGTATTGCGGCGGGGGAGGATTACTTTATAGGAGATGAAATGGACAAAATTCCACTTTCAATTTGATCACAGTCCACTGTTAACATATATCTCTCTTGCGAGCTTTAATYGATGGATTTCACGACGACTAAAGATTTTTCATGACCAAAACATTAACCTAAATGGTTCATTCAATCCATACCACAAGTTGTGATTCTTTACTCTCTGCTTATGCCAATAACCGAGATAGATAGGCGATTACATGAATGATCACGACCTGCTCTGTATGCCTTGTGATACTCAAATACTTGTGTTTGTAATATAGTATACTACTAAAAAACACCTCTGCAACAATTTCAACGATACCGTAGCGGTGATTCCATTGGAAACACACAAATCGAATTGAAAATTGTTGTTCAGGCTTCTTTGATGGTAAAAAACAGCAGCCAAGCAGGAAAAATGTTATCAACTCGGTTTTTATGCGCAGTTTTAATAAACGTGTCCGAGTCAAATTTCATTAAATGATATATACGCGAAATATCTCATTTTTTTGTAGATATGAGCACTAAATATATATTGGTAATGGATAAAAAATCAAAACAGTCTTGCTCTACATTTCGCAGGTTCTCATCTAAAACATCGTTACCTTTACCAATGGTATGTACCATTTGCGGTTTACTAAAAAATCACCTGTAGAGACCGATGCAGTCTTTTTATACTCTCGCAACAAAGTTGCTAAAGAGAGTATTATAGTTTTGATCACATAACGGTTGTTTGTAAGTCCTAAAACTAAAAGAGTCAGATATAGGGTTATATATACCAAAGTGATCAGGGTGACGAGTAGATTTAAA